AAAACCCAGTTTTTCACCTGCTATAAAATAATTTCTTTATATTATTTTGTTTTATAGTCACAGTCTTAAAAGTAGTTAAGATTTAACATATGAATCTTAAGACTAAAGGTATGGTTCCATAAGATAGAGTGATCAAACATATAGCAAATGTATCAGAAGGAAAATGTCCTGCTCTGTCCTGTTTAGCACTTCATCTCTCCCTTCCCTAGCTCTTGTGTTTTTGTATTCCCCTATAAGACAGTCTCACCAAAATGGTAGAGAGCTATAATGCTGAACTCCCTGCTCCAGTAAAATGCCCCCCTGTCCTCAGAAACACTAAGTTGCTTTCTGCCATTTTGATTAGCACAGTTGGCTCCTTGAAGGTTATGATAAAGTCCTGATCTGGCAGGATCATGCAGCCATGGCTCAAGGAACAGCTTGATTGGGTGAATGGCAGCAATCCATTACATTAGGTCAGCTGCCCAGGGAAGGACAATTTTGAGAAAGCTTATTATCAGCTTACCTTGTAGGTATAGCCTAGTGTTTTACAGTTCAGCCCTGGAGCATTCTCTAGGAACATCTACATCAGACTTTTAGAGCTGCTTCTGATCAAACAGTATAGGAAAGGGTAATCTGATTATTTACTTGCTGCAACATCTCTTTAAGTGAGTTACATAAGTTTTGTACTTATACAGGTTGAGATGAATTGTAGAATTACCATTGTCAGCTCAAATATGTTAAATAGCTTGATAGTAGCATTTAGGAATTATCCTATTGTGATTAGTGAGCTTGATTTGTCAAAAAAGTCAATTTCTAGCAGGGTGTATATAAACGTTTTCCATAGATTCCTCACTTACAATACATATACAGTCATGATAATTCAAACCTGCAATCATTTTAATTGTAATTTTCATGATAATTCAAACCAGTAATCATTTTAATTGTAATTTCTATATTTGTACACATCATTATCCATTTTGTTTAAGCCATGTTCAGCCATAGCACAACTTCATTTGTTGCCAATATCTCTTGCCAGGTGTTGTGTGTTCTCTAGTGTGCATGTATCAGGAGGGAGTTCCTAAATTTGTTGTAGGACTACAAAAAATTATTTGGACCAAAAGTTTTCAGGTCTGTCACAGACTTGATGAGAGATGAAGTTCTACAGATTTTTTTTTTTTCAGAAGTTCTGTAGAAAACAGGAACTTGCTTTCAAAATAATATGTAATTTAAAAGCAGATGTAAACTATAGAAATATTTTAGATCTTTACCAAATATCTTACATAAGATACATAATTGTATTATATTAATATGTATTGGTATGTTATTGTATTATATTAATATTATTGTTTAATATTAATGCATCTGTATTACATAATACATGCTAATAATACTTGGCTTATAGGGTAACACAGCCAGAAATGTTAAAAGCTATAAATACTGTTGTTTCAGACACAGAATGATTTCATGGTGATCTGCAATGTTGCAAAAATCTTAGAACTTGTAGTACCGCTAATGGAGCATCCAAGTGAAACCTTTCTTGCCACTATTGAGGAAGACCTCATGAAACTCATCATCAAATATGGCATGACAGTAAGCTTTTAATTGCTACTATTCAGTTGATTTAATTTCACTTTGAAATACATGTATTTGATTTAAAGAAAGTCTCTCTTCATTATGTAGATAACTTTTGAGCCATGAAAAATCCATGGTTTTGGTTTACCAGTGTTTGTATATGTTGTTATTTTAAGACATAAGTTTGGGCAGATTTTCAGAGCGGTCTAGGAGATGATCATTACATCTGTTAGATCGTTAGTTTTAGTTCTACATAGCTTTGTCTTACATAACTTCACAAAAATCTCAGTTTTAACTTCTAAATATGTAACTCATTTGTTCATTCTTGCTCCTAGGTTGTTCAGCATTGTGTGAGCTGTCTTGGGGCTGTTGTGAACAAGGTCACCCTGAACTATAAATTTGTGTGGGCCTGTTTTAATAGATACTATGGTAAGTAAAATCAGAACATGTAATTATCACTCTTCAGTTTTGGGTATAAGTCTTGTCTTAGGGACACCATGATTAAATACTGTGATCAAAACTTTTCTCTTTCTGTAGGTGCACTTTTGAAATTAAAAAGTCAACACCAGGAAGACCCCAACAGTACAATACTTACTGCCAATAAACCAGCACTCCTTAGATCACTTTTCACTGTTGGAGCATTGTGTCGACATTTTGATTTTGATCAGGAAGATTTTAAGGGCAACAGTAAGGTAAAATAACTTCTATTTACTCTCCACATCTTCTGTATATTGAATGTTCCACTGCAGTTTGAAAGCACAGTATTCCTAGTCTCCCAAAGCTACGTATTTTTTTATAATGCACACAATATTGCTTTTTGGTTTGTAAATACATGGTTTTTCAAAGGCCATGTAGTAAGATAGTGTTTCTCCTTTTTGATATTTATGCTTTTTATAAGAGATTAAAAACATGTTTCATCTTCAAATAGCTATTATTTTTGTTTTCATTTCTTCAGGTTAACATTAAGGAGAAAGTACTTGAACTGTTGATGTATTTTACAAAACATGCAGATGAAGAAGTACAGACAAAAGCCATTATTGGCCTTGGTAAGAAATATTAATAGTTTTTTTATTCTGCTATAGTAAAAATCCATGCAT